AAAAAAATGTAAAATATAATAATTCTAATTAAACGTACATGAAAGATCAAATAAAAACATTTTTTTAAATATATGAAGATAAACCGATTTAATTATCTCTTTAAACTCGAAATGCATTCAGCATTCGTTTTGACATGAACATTTATTCCGACAACTGGGAATTTTGGAGCACCTGTCATGAGCATTTATTTTCAAGTAATTCAATAAATTAATGTATAAATGATAAATTTTAATGTTTGATATTTTCAATTGGTATAAAAAAAAGTTATACATTTTTCTGAATGCATTACATATATATATATATATTATTACCGAATTAATGAATGGAAATATGTGAAAATAATTCCCACGTACAAAAATGGTTAAAATGTCAACGGTTATATAAATAAAAGTAAATAAAAATATTATTACTAAGTTTAATCTTAGGGATATTTTTTTTGAACAGATTTAAATTAGATGAACAATCTATTTATCAGTTGAACGTTTCGTCCCTATATTTGGGACTTCCTCAGCAACTCGATAGTTATTGTTCACGAGTCAATATAACATCATTTCTCATTACAGTCATAAGTATTTACTATCTTATATATAAAGTCAATTTTAAACCGTTATCCTACCATAACTTTTCGAACACTACAAAAAAAAAAAAAAAAAAATTTTGGATAAGAAAATTTATAATATTAACGTAAATAAAAATGTTACATACGTTTTCCGGCTGTGACGATCGTCTCTGTCGCGGCACACAGAAGAGCGGCACGCCGCTTTCCCTCTTCCTCTCCAATATAGCGACTACTCGTTTTCCTTGCACAAAAACACTAGGACGATCACCTTTCTTAATAATTTTTCCTGTTTTTCTTATTCTTCTTTTTTTTTTTTTTAATCACACAGTTAGGTATCAAACGTTAGAACAAAATAGACAAAAAAATTCACGTAGGTTCACCAAATCGGTCAATGTAGTATTTTAAGAATTATCTTGAAACCAAATGTTCTGTTCTTACTTTACTACCGAAAGAAAAATAAAGAAAAATCGTCAAACTTGGAAAACGTGACTCCTGTTGGTTGGAACGTTCGACGCTAGGATATCGACGACGCATCGATTCCTCGCAACTCGATCCCTTCGCTTCTTTTCTCCTTTCCCTTCTCTCCCTTACCGGCCCTTCCTTCTTTTTCTTCTTCGTTCCTTCACGATGGTATGGTGTGCTGCCTTATTTCGATACGAGAGTGCGCGCGCGAGCACACACAGATAGAAAGAAAGATACAGGGAACAGTGACACAGGTAAAGAAATAAAGTGTGTGTGTGAGAGAGAGAGGGACAGAGAAAGAGAGAAAGAAGGAGAACACTGAAGAAATGTAGCTTTGTTTACCTCCTCTTCTTTTTTTTTAATGAACTCTCCTCTTCGCGTAAAAAACAGTGACACGTTGGGAATAAAAAGAGATAAAAAGAGAGGAAACAAAATAAAGGATTCCACGAGGAGTCATACATTCGTTGTTCGTATAGAAACACAATGTATGTATCCGTGGGACGACAACGACGACGACGACGACGACGACGACGACGACGAGGAGGTAGAGGGTTCGTCAACCCGGACGTGACCACTCGACTCACTCGTAGCAGATCGAGGACTTTCGGTAACGGTTATCCCGATTTCCGATCTGATCCGGCTCGTTCCTTTTAAGAAAAAGATGGTGAAATAATAATTAATATAAACACTGTTATAATTCGATGCTGCGTTATACGTCTTATACGTTTAGTAAAAATCTAATTAACGCGGAAATGTATATTTTACGCGAGAACGAATTTTCTTATGAGAAAAAACGAGAGTAAACAGAAACAATGCTAACAGGTTGCGCTCCGCAGAACGACTGAGGCGCCCCACCGCTCACTCGCTTTCGGAGCCTCTCCCCACTTCAATTCACTACTTGCTATCCCCACCACTACGGCCAAAGAACGCGTGCCGACGTGCTAGTCTTACTCCGGGGATCGATGCGATCGAAGGATTGATATCAATGAGATATCCTATATGTCTATAGTTTGTTCCTTTTTTTTTTTGTTTATGGTTTTTTATTTGGACGAACGCGAATGCATTAGTTAAAATACTTTTCTATAGAAGAGTTTCAAAATTGTATACATTTTTATACGCATGTATTATTTATATTTATGATTTATCTAATTTATTAATGATACATTATATCTTAATTTCAACTTATCCAACGTAAATAAGATATTATAATTACATTCATTAATTATGATTGCTATAGAAATAATGTAACATATCGATTTTTAATTATTTTCTTTATACGATTTATCTTTTCTGTTCTGACTTTTATTAATATCTATACTATTATTACTCATTACGTATATATGTAAATATTTTTATTTGAGCATGACATTTTATATAAATGATATTCTATAAAATACTATAAATTTAAATGATTTTCAATAAGATAATATAATTACAAAAATTTAACATAAAATTTATTATAAATAACGTAAGATGTTAAAATCTTTAATATATGATTTATTTTGTTAGAATTTTATATATTTATTCGAAATATTATATTAGCTAATAAAGATAAGTATTAAAAAGGAAATTATTACCATTGTTCTTCTATCGAAATTTAATACATACAAATTCTGCAACCACATTCATTTTATACTAAATCTATCGAAATTTTATGAATATTAAAGTTACACTTTGTATAATTGAATATAGTTAATGATCAATTTGATATTGGTTTTATAAATAATAAATCAAATATTTTTATTTTATAATTTTCGTAAAATAAAATGAAAAAATATCTGTAATACTGATTGCAGAATTTGACCTCAAAAATTATATATAAGTAATTTGACCGATCGTGATATATTTAGTGTTAAAGACGTTATCTATCGAAAAACGTAACTTTACATTTCCAACGTATTTTTTTATGTCTTATCGATTTCTTTCAATTTGAGATCTTTCAAAATAAGTTATTTAACATGCGTGTCTTTTCTGGTATAGAACAATTTTTGTACAAAATTTATTATATGTTCCTTCATTTAAAAATGTTGACCATCAAACAACAAAATTTTACATTATTTCAACATAATTCTTTACGTCTTATAGATATCCTTTCATCTGGGAACTTTAAGAATAAGTTTTTTGATGCGTATGTCTTTCTTGATATAGAGAGATGCGGGCTTGTAGAGTTCATTCTGTAGAAAACTACGCGTGTGGCACGAGTTCGAGGCGGGTAAAAGATACGATCTGCTTTGCTCTCCTGCAGCACGAGGTCCCGCATTACTTGTGTATCTCGATTTCAAACCTCCTGTCCTACATGTCACGCAACTAACCACGCTAATTAGTCCATTATCATTGTCATGTCGGTAACGGCGACTCATCGTATCTTTTTATATAATAAGTACCGCTCTTAGCACGTTCGCGAGTAAGTACTCCTTTCGTGACCCAACTCACTTCGACAAAAAAACATCTCATTATTGTACACATGCGTAATCGTTATATTAATATTTTTTATTATTTTATTTAAAACAACAGACATAATGTCTGTTAACAAGTTTCAATACAATTTAAATTAAAAAATATTAAGACAAATTTCTGACTATCAATATAAACGCAAACATTACCAAAACAAATTGTTATTATTTTATTGGTAATATAAGTCAAGAAACATTTTTTACAGAGATGAGGGTACATTATTTACAAATCATTTTTTTCTAAGTTTTAAGATTATGTTGAAAAAAAACATTGTTTCTATGTTAGGCTCAAAACTTTTCAACCCACCTACGTAAATCATTTATCGTCTATCACGATCTATCAAAAAAATATCCTTTATTATACTTCTTTTTATATATAAATTATTGTCTTTTAATGAAGTAATAAAGTGAGCATTCTTTGTTTAGCGTTTTAGACTTTAGTTAAATAAACAAATCTAAAGATATATTTTAATACGATTTATATTGATTATTACAATCATATAATAAATTATTTTCATCTTTATTATCACTTTTTATATAAACATCTATTATAAATTAGAGATTTTTTTTTGTTTTCTTATTTTATAAAAATTTTCATTCGTTTTAGAAGCTTAAATATAGCTAAAAATATATGAACATATTTTAAAACTATTGTAAGATTATAAAAAGATTAGTTCGTCGGATGTAAATTTGATACTTACATAGGATTGTATAATATTTATCGCGAGCAAATTTCCTGAACGTATATCCTATACGCTCCCATAATATCAGAAAGGGTTAAATGAAACCTTTGAGTTTAATTCGGAAAGGTGAATACCAGTAGTTCATTCCAAAGAGATAAGAAACACGCGAAGATATTGTTTAGCGACACCATTTCAATTGCTATGGCACACCCACATGGTCAAAGCCGGCTAAAGTAAAACAGCAGCGTGTACTGACCATCTTTAATTTCACTAAAACGCAAAGTGAGTAATAAACTGGTCTAGACGTATGTTCTGGCTTATAGTATTACTATTTACTATGCGTGGGTGTCCAGTGTGGGTGTGTCAGTAGACACGACAGAATACTTGACATATGGATGGACATAAGCCTTCCTGCTACTTTTTTTTAAAACTTTGGAATTTAGAAACAATTCGTACAAACGAGTCAAAATATTGTTAAAATACCTATTCTAATAACCCTTAAAATTTAAAAAAATCCCATCGGAACTTTGAAACATCATATTTAATTATGATAACTAATATTTTATTAGCGAAAAAGAATAAAATCCGTTGTTTAAGATCACATGAAATTAGAAATAATGATACCAATCTAATCAGATAATCATGTTGGCAAGCATTGCGAGAGTTTCATCATTGCATTCTTACACGAAAAATTAACCACATTGGCCTCATATAAGCTAATTAAATTAGGAAACGAATGTATATTAGACGAGGGAGATAGATATTTTCTCACATACATACATATCCTCTTATAATTTTGGGTCGAATGATCACACATTACATATTTACCAATTTGTAAAGAATTCTTTTGAAAAATTATATGTCATATATTTTATTATTATAATTTATGTATAAAATTTTCAGTAAGGAATACTACCCTCATCATTTATGTCTTGAATTATATCGTCTTCTTGGCCATCATCGGGAGAGAATAAAGGTTCAAGATCATCTTCTATTTTTTCCTTCATTATATTAAAAATAGGTATAGGTTTTCTTTTGCGAATAGCTCTTTCGATCTTTTGAGCCATCTTAATTTCTAGAGCACTGCTAATGAAATTGACTATTTTACAATCTTGATGACTGCCTACCCTTCCGACTCTACCACATCTAAAAATACAGGAAATTAATTACATACTGTCTGTTTTCGTTATATTGAAGTAAACAAGCCTTACCGGTGAATATAATCAGCAGTATCCATTGGAAATTCATAATTCAATATGTGTCGGACCATGACAGTATCCAATCCTCTAGATCCAATGTTCGTAGTTGATAATACATTAACTTTTCCATTCTTGAATTCCTGATATTTTCCTTGTTTTAATTCCAAAGGCATGTTACCATTTAAACAAATGTTATTGATACCACAATCATTTAAGAACATATTAATAAAATCGCAAGTAGCGATATTATTACTAAATATTATTACTGGTTCCTTAGATTTAACTTTTGGTTTTATAAACTTTAATAGCTGGTACGGTTTTTGACTAGGACCCAATCTCACAAATGTCTGAGGTACGGAAATACGATGCAATTGTTCTGTAACTACTTTAACCAGAGAATCGACCTAAAATTTGAATATATTATTATATTACAAACTGCTTATACATTTTATAAATTATTTCTATATATTTATTCATATGACCTACATTTACTATGCTTCCTAAGACTTCAGAGATTCTTTGAGGCATTGTGGCAGAAGCTAATGTCAATTGAGCATTTTTAGGCATTCCGTTTTCATCTATTATTGGTTCATGAGCAATCTATATTACGATATAAACAGATTATTATGATCTCATCTTCAAGATCGTATATGGAATATGTATAATTTATACACACTTGTAGCCTATTCATGAATACATTAAGTTTGCCATCAAATGATTCATGAAATAATGCATCCGCTTCATCCAGAACAATATGTTTGACACAATATAATTTATAAATTTTGAAAGTGGTCAGTTTACTGATAACTCCAAAACTTGCTACAACGAGATCGACATCGTCCATAGGTAACCTTGATACCAATCTTTTTGTTTTACCACCTATTAAGATTTTGGTTGAAATACCAAGACCATTTGACAACTTTTTAGCTTCTTCCTGTATTATATAAATAAATATATATTTATATTCATTTATATATATTCATATTAAATAACATTTATATTATAGTAGAGAGAATTATATGAAAAAAAAACAAACCCCTATCTGAATAGCTAATTCTCGACTTGGTGTAACGATTAATCCTAATGGAGAATTAAGAGGTCTTTCTAACATTGGTTTCCAATTTAAAATTTGATCTATTAAAGGAATAAGATATGCCATTGTTTTGCCACATCCAGTTTCAGCAGCTATTACAGTATTTAGACCACTCAGAATTTTTGGTATAGCACATTCCTGAATTTTTAACGGCGTTGTATGGCCTATTTCCTGTAATTTCTTGCATAACGAAGGATCTAAATCGAATTTCTCAAAAGTAGACATTTTAATATCTTCATCTAATGTTAAAGTTTTTTCCTAAAAAGATTAGCATTTGTTAAGCGTGTCTTTTAAGTATGATTTTATATGGAAATACTTAAACAAATGATACAAACTGGATAAATACAAAAATGATCTCCTTTGGAATCTGAACGATTCCATCCTTTGCTGTTTAAGGGTATTTCTTCGTATTTTGAATAAATATCACCTTGGTAGAAATTAAACATCGGGCGTTTGCAAAGGATTATTGGTGTTTTCGATTTCCTTTCTTCGGCAGTAAATGCTTCCCGTTTTTTAACTTCATGTTTTTTAAAACGTTTGGTACTAACTCTTTTCTAAATCCAATAGAAATATATTATTATTTTTATAAATAAAAAATATAGAAAAGAAATAAGAATAACCTAAAAGAAACATCACCTAAAAAACATAACCTATTCGAAAATCATGCTAAAAATTAAAGTTTACTAACCCCATACTTCCGTAAATTTATAATTGACACACTTATGTTCTGATAACATAAATTACAATATCTAAATATCATTTTAAAATGCTGTTATTTTTACAATCTTATTCTACAGAAAAGATTATAATATTCGTCACATTACACACGAAATTTTTATAATATGAAACCACATATATCTTGACTCAATTATCATTAGATATCCCCATTCTCGTAAGATTTAAATAAATAGCGCCCTTACCTAATGTCGGTAATATCACTTTTCTTTCAAAACAAAGAATACAGAAGTACATACAAGTCCCCTTTTTTATCTACTCAATTTCATTTTAGTTATTACCGGTACCACCACTGGGCGATAGTATGTACTTAACGCGATGACGGTACAATACTATCAAAGAACAGTACAATGTTATCAAAGAGCGCTACAATACTATCAAAGAACGGTACAAACTATCAAAGAATACAGTATGCAATCAATTATCACCCACTGGTGGTCTCGGTAGTAACTAAAATGAAACTAGGTAGATAAAAAAGGGGATTCGTGAATTTCTATGTACTTTGTATTCTTTATTATTATAATAAATAAATCTACATTGTAGTTACCGTGATTACTATAACGATCGATAATACAGATTTTTATTTTAACAACTGAAAAACTAACTTCCGAATATCTTTTATTACTCTAAATAAAATTGAAAGATGATACAATAAAAATAAAAAAGAGCGAACAATATAATACAAATTATTTACATATGATTGATCGTTTTTTTTTCTATTTAAAAAACAAATATTGAAATAATATTTCAAAGAAGAAGAGACAAAAGAAAAAAAGAAAAGTCTCAAATTTGAAGTTGAACAGGACAATCGATAGATTTCGATCAGTGTCTATAGCAGCAGGTAAGAGGACGAGCAAGGTAGGGTGTCACACTTTCGTTCTCCCCAGGTTCGATTGTTGTTGGTGCCAGCAGGTTTTCTAGTCGTCAACGGCAATAGACGGCGGCGTTCGACCCAGGAAAGGCGAAAGTGCGAGTAAGAAGAAGGCGAAGACGAAGAAGAAGAAGAAAAACCGTCGAAAGTCAGTTAGAAGACGAAGGAGAATGTTTGTCTTTTGTCGAGGTCGGAACGATCGCTTTGAGCGATAGTCTTTGCGAATAAACGCGAGGAGGATGGCCGATCGCGAAGAGGACGATGACGAAGAGGGGGAAGAGCGGGAAGGGGTGGAAGAGGAGAAGGAGGAGAACAAGATGGTGTTGAGGAGGAGGCACGAGAGGATAAAGGAGAGGAAGGAGAAAAAGGAGCCGAAGGAGACCGACGAGTTTACTACCGACGAGAATCTCAGGATATTCGAGACTCTTTGCATCTCGTCTCCTCACAAGGTCTACTCATCTCACAGCACGATTCACAACACTATCGCACTCAACTTAAAATTTGTGAAGCGCACCTTGCTCTTTTTTTTTTTTCTTTTTGATATTCTCTCACGTGTATATATGTGCCGGTAATGGCGACAGTTAACTCAGTCAGAAATTTGAAAAAATTGTGATTTGTTTTATATTATATAATTATTTATATTACAAAACAAATCATACAATCAATTTTTTTCCATTTTTTGACATAGTCCACAGTCATAATTAACGGTAAAATTATAGTTAAATAAATATATATTTATGCACCCGGCACGTATATTTTATTTTTCTCCTCTCTTATATAAAATATCACTAATTGTGTAAATAAAATGATTATTTGCCATTAATTTTAACGTAGAATTATGAATTAGGTATATTTGAAAAATTTTCGATTTATATCACGATCAAAATTACACCTTTTTAAACGAATAATGCACGAATAATGCACATAGAAAAAATCGATCAAATCTATCGAAGAAGAGGGTTAGTTTACGTTCATCGAGTGCTAAGTTTCGTTACTGAGCTCTTGAAAATCGTTGTTTGATCGAAAGCTTCGTTTTCCCTACGTTTTCTCATAGAAGCGTCAGCCCGTTAAAACCCATTGGAATTTCATCGTGGATCCGATTTACGAGTGGCTCGTTTAATTGATGCGTCCAATCGTAATCTCGTAATTTCGTCACGCGTAAGCGTCATTATCGTAGCCCTCGAAACATTGCCCTCTCTTTTACCTCTACTCTGATCCTCTTTCTCTTTCTCTTTTTTTTCCCTTTCTCTTTCTCTCTTTCTCTGTCTCTTTATCTATCTCTATCTATCGCTGTCTCTATTTCTCTTATTCGCTTCAGTGTGACGTATACGAGGTACACCAGTGAAACGCAAATGTATTGAGTTGCATGCGAACAAGGGTTGCGTTGCCATAGCGTTACACAGAATCGATTTTAGCAGTTCCACTAAAGGTCCGTGTATACGCGCCTTTTCGATCCTCCGCATTCTCGCGTGCCACCATTAAGGAAGCCTCAATTTATTTATTTCTTCGAGATCTTTTTAATTTTCCTTCAAAATTATCTACCTCCCCTTCACATTTTTATTATTTTCTATTCTCAAATTAATTTTCTTACTCGTTAACTTTTACATTGTGTCGCTAGAACGACGCGATGACGACTATACTTGTTAAATACAGAAACCGTGTAGCTGTTGTTACATTCAATACAATTTATAACGAAATAAAAAATAATTGATTTTTATTGAAAATTATTATTAATCGATAAGCTAGAGACATAATAAAAAGAAAATGACTGATCTCTAAAGGATTTGCTAGAAAGGAAAAATTTAAGTGATGGGGTTCTTTATTACAGCACTTATGTTAACCATGTTTCTTACAATAAGTAAAACTTTTATCTTTCTATTTCTTTAAAAGAAATTTTGTTTTTTTTTCATTCTTCTTTTAAAATATTTTAAAATATTTACTTATACTTATTTCTATTTATAAATATCATTAATTTTTAACAGGAAATTTAATACAAATATCAATTGATAGTTACGAGGTACGTGACGAGTATAATCGTTATTTACAGTTAAGAGGATAACGAATAATAACCAATTTTAATTTCATTTTCTATGTTGATTCGTTACGAGTTCGAGATAAATGAATCGAAATTTTTGCATTCAAATTCGCTTAATGTTAACTAACTATGAGTCACGCGAAATAATATTTATTTAGTGAATACAATTTTTAAATAAATTACATAAAGAATTTTGTTTTTAATTTTTAGGAAATAAATACGTATATGTATACGTATTAATTTGTATATATTTAAAGATTCACGCGCGTTGATGATAAATAGATCGAATTTGATACAGAAACGTCCATTGAAACGTAATTGCTAAAACATTATATTGATGACCGACAGATATTATCTATTGTATATTGGCATATAATAATAGCCGATAGTTATCGTGAATAATGTCACGGACTTATTCGTGCCATTATTTCCCTAATCATTTTCGAATTTGTATAAATATCCACGCAACCCAAGCTGACAGTAATATCTCTAAAATTTATAAAAATATTCAAGTAAGTTCCTTTTACTTTTGTTCTCGACAAAAGAAAATGTCTATCATTATTCATTATTAATTGTCAAAATAAAATACTATAAAATACGAGGATAGGTTGAATGGTTTTAAGTCTTGACAAAACAAATAATATTTAATTATTTTTAAATAAAAGTAAGTTCGACTGAAAAATATTGTTTCTATGTTGTAAAAAAGAGATATTTACTTTTTTTTAAGAAAGTTAAAACATGTGTCCAGTGAAACGTAAAGGGTTTTCATGAAAACCTCTCGTTAAATATTTTTCTAAAATAATCAAATAAAAAATATACACAATAGATGTATTAACACATGTTAAAAAATAAATCTTCTTGGATAAGTTGCAAATTCAAAGAAGTGATTGTTAATGCGTAAGCATTAGCGTTTAAGAAAGATGAAACGCAATTACCGTTCCTTCCAGCGTATATATTAGACGAGAAAATATCTTTTCAACTGTGGTTAACGGTGTGAGGATAAGATAATCCACGTGGTAGGAACAGTGATTTTCACTCGGCGTTTATGAAGGAAGAGGATGAGAAGGAGAGGGAGATAAAGAAGAATGTGGCCGTCTTCCTCCAAGTAAACTAATTTTTTACTCTTAACGACCAACTTCCCAGATGTAGTAATAAATCATTTTAACTAAATCCACTATGGTAGGAGGGAGTCACGATTTATGAATTTGTTTAGTATCTTTTTTTCTTTCCCTTTCTCTTATTATTTTTACCTGTATTTAAAAAACAAAAACTTCTTTTTGGAAACTATGATTATAATGCTCTAAACCGAAATTGTATTAGTTTTTATTAATTAAAGAAATTAAAATGTGAATATTTTCTAAAAATATAAATTCAATTGTAAGAGATATTTATTAAAGATTCTTAAATGATTCTATGTAATGTAAAAAGTTAATTTCACTCAGTATGATGATATCTCTTGTATCAATTTTACTTTTATACTTATCGAACACAATTTTTAGTTTCTAGAGTTGCAAACTCGATTAAATGCACGCGTACTCGACAAATTTTTAAATTTATATTTCTCGAAAAAAATGAACACATTTTATTCTACATTTTTGACTTGTTAGTTTTTCATGTAAAAACACTTCTCTGCTCGTTTTTACCATCATTTTACAGGATATCCTGTACATTATTTTACATATATCAAACATTATTAGATACTTTAAAAAAACATTTTTTCGGTCACTATATACGGTTAACCCTGTATATTAATTTTAATTTTAAATCTAACTTAAATATAACTTTATTTTGTATAATTTTTGTGTACACTTTTCTTTGTCCGTTTCGATTTTTAAAAGTCGTCGGAGAAACCAGAAATATAAGAGAGAAAAATAGAATAAAAAGGAGGAAGCTGTAAGGATCTTTTCTTTGGTTACAGTTGGACACAGGAGATGCGATGACTCATGACTTGACGACGACGTTGAGGAGCGAACTGGCAGCTCTCGAATATAAACGAGATAGGTTGATGTTCGAGGTAAAACGATTTCCGTGCTGTTCCGACGGCTAAATCGGCTGGATTATTAATTCAACGGCTTTTCCTTCTTAGCTGCAGGAGATGAAGAACACCGTCAGATCAAGAGACCAAAGGGTCGGAGAACTTCAGGTGGAAGCTGATCAGTTGAGGGAACAAGCTGCCAGACAGAATTCTATCATTTCCAGTCTTAAGAAACGCATAAAGGCGAGAAATTTGTTTTATTTTTAATAAATATATAATCCGTTTATATAATTTATAAGTTTAATAATCATATAAAATAAGTTTCTTTGTATTAGAATTTGTGAAAACATTACATTACAAGCAGATATAAGATATAATTATATGTATAAATTAATTCACAGGAATTGGAAGAGCGTGAGAAAAATCTTTACGCGTCTCAAGGAAGAAACGAAATTTCGATACAAGGATTACAACGAGACGTCAAGTATCACGAAGAAAAGGTCAGAGAATACGAGAAGAAAATTCGACAAATTGAGCATAATTTATCCGAGGAGATACAATTAAAAGAAAGAGCGAGATTAAATCTTCAGGTATTCTTTTTTTTATGTAAATTTACATTTATTAAATTGAAAAGATTTGTTAAAATTAAACGTAAAAATTGATATTTTTATGAGAAATTAGTTCCTTATGTATTTATCGTTTAAAAATAAACTAAAAAGAATAATTATTTGAAAGATAATTTTCATTATTATTGTACTAAATATTCTACATATTAATAAACAATCACAAAGGTAAAACATTCTCATTGAAATACTCGAAACTTTTGATATAAAATGAAAATGAAATTTTCCTGCTTTATTGAAAAATAAATTATTCGGTTTACTGAATACTGTTGGAAAATTAACGGAATTCAATTAAATCGAATTCACATTAAAAGGAATTTGTACGGCGTCTGGCACACGCATTAAACGTCGAGTACAGTGAAACGGTTCACCATAGTCCGGAAGTGGTTATCCACAAGGCGGAAGAATTAGTGCAAGAAGTAAATCGGTTGCGAAATAGGAGTACTACAATCGAGACGCAACTTAGCGGTATCGAGAATGATTTTCGAAATTGTAAAGACGCGCTAAATCGTCTTACCACTGAAAAAGAACAACTTCAGAGGCAAATGTCTACACAACTGGTTGATTTGGAACGCTTACGGCAGGTATAGTTACAAGTGAACATGTATACAAAGAAAAAAGTTTATTTTCAGGATGATACTCTATATTGAACATATTTCTCTAATAGATTCATAATTATTAGCGATATTTGTAGTTAAGTGTAAAATGTAAGGAAATGTGAAATTTGAGTATTTATTTTTAAAATGTAAACTTTATCATAATAAAAGTATCGTTTTCGTTTTTTGTCCTTAAAATCGAGGATGTTATGGGTAAAAATAAGTTCAATTAAAAGTTTTACAAATTAAATAGATGTTTTTTGACCAATTCCAAAAAAAAGAGTGTGGTTAATGGACATTTATTTAACAATTCAACTAACTAATACGATATTTTATAATTAGAATTTGTATAGTTATATCATTTTATAAAGTTATTGAATTGATTCATAAATAAATGTCATATATAATAATTTCTAACTTACAATGAATTTTTGATTTTTTCGTGAATCAATATTTGAAAATTATTGAAAATATATCATTATCAATACTCTAAAACAGAGAATGATAAATAAACTAAAAAAAATCTGCTAGTTATGTTAAGAAATATATCACGTTTATCAGGAAAAAGAATGTTTAGAAATGCAACATAGAGTAGCCGAAAGAGAGATGAATGATCTGAGAGATAAATTGGTGAATGCGAACAGAAATATAACAAGTGCTACAGGAAACATATCTAATCAGGAAGCATTGATCTGCCAATTACGAGGTAAACTTTAAGCGAATGCTTGTTTCATTATAAAATAAATACGATTGATTCGTTGTTATTTCTTCACAGACGATTTGAAGAATCGCGAAGAAAAAGAGCAACGCCTGCAAACAGAACTGAGACACTTACTGGAATCTTTAGCAATTCTTTTGAGTACACCGAGTAGATTTGTGGAATCTCATGAAAATGCGATAAAGGATAGGATTAGAGAGATCCTTGACGAAAGCAAAGATCAAGCACTGGTATTTCGCTTCTATTCGTGATACATTATTTAGATACTTTAGAAAAGATTGTTAAACGATTTAGACATTCAGATTATATTCGATTGGTATCAATATTGAACTGCTCGGAAAGTTATAAATAGAAAAATTTATAAATATAACAATATTTTATATTATATATATTTTTGTAAATAGTCAATGATCAAACCACGTTGGATTATTATTTTCCGTCAGATCATTAAAGTCAAACAACGTGGGCACGGTTAGTAAAGTGGATTGGTAATCCATCCGAAATAAACAAAAACCATATGCTGTTGACTTCAGGGAGGCGGTAAAGAGACATGACCTTTTTGATAGTATTGGATAGGTGTGAGAAGGTGTTAGTAAAAAAGTAATTCGAACCTGTAAAAGGGAGAGTAAAAAGATACGATATATTTTGTTTAAATAAACATATTATCTTGGTAAAAATAAATATACACTTTCCGGGCAATCCTTATGTTTTACTTCGGAAAAATTTTAAAATTTGAATTATATAATATTTAGAAAATTCAAAGTTTACGAGAGAAGGTGAACGCTGCCACGGAATCTGCCAATCGTCAAAGCGAAATGCTTGAGACGAGTATGATGAAGATGCGACATTTAGAAGAGGAACGATCTAGTCTCGAGGTGAAGATACACAAACTGGAGACTGAGTTAACCAGCTGTGAACTTTCCAAAGAATCTTTACGTAGAGACAAACAAACGGTGATTTTACAAATATTTTTTATTTTAAATGTATGAAAGAACAAAACAAGTTATGTTTGCCGAAATTGAACGCATGTTTTAGTTTACGACGTTTTTCGATCGATTGGGGAAAGCCATGCAGATCGAAGAAATTTCGGAAGACGTCGGAATCGAATTACAAACCGAATCCTTACTTGTACGAGCCGAACAACTTGCCAGATTAGAAACGGACAAATTAGTCGATAAGGTGAAGGACACGATCGATAGATAAATTTATATTTTTTTTTTTACCGATCTTTAAAATATCTTTCTTCTTGTTTTTTTCTTTTATTTCAAATCCTATGAAAATTCTACCGTTCGTGTACTTCAGTACATGTACTCCAGCTACACGATATTACCAAGGATTCGTCGTGAGAGATCCTTTCACGAGCTTCCCTCCCCGAAAGACGTAAGCCCAAGCTCCAAACCAGTCGAGAAGAACCTTCCCGTTTAACGCTTTATCGTGCTTCTCATTTCGAATTCGGTTCCTTTTGACTTCTCTTTTTTGTACTGTTCCACACTTGAACGAAAAATTCTCTGGCTTTTTCGTGAAACTCACGTAAAGGTACAATTCGATCCGATTTTGCTCGCTTCGTATATAAATAGTTCATTAGTTTCTTTCAAGGATAATTCCATTACCTTTTTTATACTTTTTCATTTTAGATATCAGCACGAGATCTTTTCTTTTTCTTTTTTTTTTTTTTTTTTTTTTTAATATATACTTTTTTACATAATATGTTTCACGATAAATTGTTAATAAAATTTCCTAAAAAAATAGATCATTCATTTTATATTCTTTCTATTCTTTGTAAAATAATTTGATTTCTTTTGCAATTCCATCGTAGTATTATGTAAATTATTGTCACATTTGTAATTAGAAGATTCATTTATTACAATTAGAAAGAATATTTTTTTTCCAAAGATGTTCGCATCTTCGAGCATATATGTACTTTTTATTTTATGTCGCTTAGACGTCAGTGGTCTATCAATTGCAACGACGTGTGAGAACCCTTAGGGAACAACTGCAGAGGCGAGATCTTCACTTGGATCTTCTGCGAAGAAAATTGTCTTTGCAAGAGGACAGTGTGAGAATAAAAACATTGTTACAAAGCGAGAGAGACGAAGCGAATCTTCGGTGAATGTTGCATCGAATAAAATAATTTAAAATAATAATACAAGAAAAATATTATCATTATTTTGAATTTTTAGCGCGAAAAAATTAACAAAACAGGTGGAACGAACACAATCACAACTGTCGGAAGAAAAATTACGAAATCGAGAACTGAGTGTTCAATTAACCGAAGCGGCTGATTACAAGGTTTTATATATTTTAATAATGAAAATATAAAAACAAATAATTACTAAATAAAACAAATTGTACCATTTGGTATAATATATATATATATATTATATTATATTTCTATATATATGTGTGTGTGTGATTATATTTAATTATAATATATTATATTTCTATATATATTATATGATATTATTTTATTATTTATATAATAATAAGAACAAATTAATATGAAATAATTTCAACGATTGTGTTTCATAATTTTTCAAATATATTTTTCACTGTATATATACTATATTTAATTCACTTTGATTTCTTTTATTGCAATTCAATCTTTCACGATGTTAGCTACTTTAAAATCGAAATACACAAATTTTACGTTTCCATGATACAGATAGCGGCATTGGAAAGGAGTAGGAAAATAGAGGAGCTCCAGAAACGTCTCGTAGAAAGCGAGATGTTGAGAACGCGTTACAGTAGAAAGCTATCTATGTTGAAAGAGCAAATGAGAACGACATCTGAAACGGCTGATCAAGAAAGATCCATCAACGATCATTCTCTACAACTTCTTAGAGATGAATTGGCGCAGGTGAAGCAAAATCTCGCCGAAGTTACTAGAAGGGAATCTCAGGTAAATACATCACGTAAATACATGCACACATACAAATTCAACAGAATCAATGATCCTTAAAAGTTTCGATTAATTTTTATTAATATTTATTTATTTAAATATGTACTTATATATATTATAAAAAATTATGATAATTTTGAATTGTTATTTTTGAAGCATTTTCAAATTTCACAGTCTAAAATAATCCAATTACAAAAGATATGACATAAGAGAAAAATAATACACCAAATAAATGATAAATTACAGTTATTTTACGAAGAAAGTATGAATTCCCATATTTACGAGTCTCGAAATACTTCCGATATGTATGCAGAATATATTTATATTTTATAGTTTAATTTTTATTATACAAATAATATTTATAAATATTTATTTTCTAGAAATTCTTACCGTAAAATTCTTGCCAAATAAGATATTACGTATTCGGCACGCAAAGTCGAATTCACGCAATCTTGATTTATAGTGATTCCTCTATAAACCTACTTGCATTCGACCCCTGTAAGAGAGTTCGGACGCGGTACGCTTGGCGATCCGTATTTTCGAATTTGATATGCTTGTTAAAATGCAGAACCCTTTGACTATGTCATTTCACTTCGTCCGTAAAATTAGAACTGAAACGAGAGCGTGAAAGCATCTTCTTCATTTATCAAAATCAATCTCCGGAGAATATACGGGACACTTACAAAATATCCGTCACTTCTCGTGACAGATCACGTTATTAAAGAAGAAAATATTCTTTTTCTTCTCGTGACTCATTTTTCATGTTCTTTTTTCTTTTTTTAATAGGCATACAAGAGATTACTCCAATGTAAGAGAAATCTAAAAAAAAAAAGAAAAAAAAAGAAAAAGATAGGAGCACACCCTTTCCCGAATAAAAATAAAATATAGAATGAAGAAAAGGAAATAGAATAACACGTATCGCGACGTAACATCTTATTCATTTTCATTGATATAATTGAAAATGATAATCAATCAACCTAAATCATTTTATCTGATAAAGATGATCTATGGAGGTATATATATATATTGAATATATGCACAGTAGCCCTTGTGGTGTTTTCGAAAGGCAAGAATCTCGCGTATGATCTAGAGTTAGTAACGTTGTTCCTCGAGTCAGAGAGCAAACGGACTCGTTAATTCATTGAAGCAATCTCACCGACTACACGCAGATGACATCCATTCGTATTATTGCTACTCGTTCTCTCCCTCTCTCTCGTAGGAACTGCATAAACCTGCTCTTCGCGAGAAGGCAAGACTTTATCTCTTTCTTTCTCCTAACGAGTACGACATCGTTGTTCGTCGATCGTTCATTCGAATCACGTTCACGTTCACCGAAGTATATAATTTGAAACGACTCGCGAAACCGTCTTTTGCCTTTCTTTGAGCTGGCACGTGCCACCCACTAGTCGACCCGTTACGAATTCAAACTTTTCGAATGGTATTTACAAAATAATACATTTTTGGAATGTTTTTTTTCTTCTTATTTTACATGTAGAAGAAATAATTTTCAATCTAACTTTTATAGCATAATAATCGCTTATAGAACTTTCACTTGCGTATAAATATAATCAAATTGAATGTATTTAAATTTGTTCTTATATATCTAAATACTTTCGTTTATGATTAACCAACGTAACTCGAAATAACTTGGCAAAGTAACGAAGAACCGAGAAGGATGCTCTGTGATCATTCAAACGAATCGGACCCTTGTAATTTTATCGAAACCTTTTTTTCTTGCTTTCTCGAAAACGACCAAAAGTGTTAGGTCGTAAGCGTTGACTCTCACCCAGAAACATAGAATCGATTTTCGATAGGTCCTTCATTATTTTTGATTATCTCAACTGATTTGAACGTAAAGCAATTTTTGACGATCTAACTTGTAATGGCGAGCGTGTTAATGTAGTAGTTGTAGTAGTAGTATGCATAGATATATCTATTTATCTATCTATCTATATATCTATACAACTTGCAAATCGTTCATATCCTATTTCAGTTGCAGAGCTTCCGTGTCTCCGTAGCGAAATTATTGTCGGAGCCAATCTGCACTCCGGATTACGAGATCATTACGCGACTGCAGAAAATGGTTGCAGCCCATCGCGACTTCACCATGCTCTCCCGTAGATACGATGAACCGTTGGAAGCGAGTCCCTCAAGGTGCACAAGGTAATCCTTGTTAAATATTAACGAGAAAGGGAATAACTTTGAAAGCAAACGTGTTTTAGCCGTTCTAAGCAGGAAAATATGGAAACCATTCTGAGAACATTTAGAGTTGAAAAATATTCTATAAAAAATAAATTCTTAGATTATCTTCTCTTGTATGTTTTTCTCCGTTTATGCCTCGTTAATTTTTATTCAAGATAAGAAACTTTAACGATTACGTTTTTATATATCTTTCTAACAAAGATATTTTACATTGATAAATCATTTAATGATTTAAATATTATTCGTTATTTGTATTTAAATTAAAGTGAATTAGGTTAATTCTATTTTTTATTATTCTATTGCATAATCGGTAATTATAAAAACAACCTAAGTTATATATACATATAAGTATATATTTATATATTTTTTAAATTTATTCCTACGTCACTTTCATTAATATTGGTATATGCGACAAGATTTCGAATCTTATATTCTTTAATTTAAATAATTTCATTCGGAATTTTTTTAATAATTCGAATAAAATGTAAATAAAAAACATATAGAAAAATTGAATTTATTATTTAATTTTTTGTTAAATTAAATTTATTGTTAGAGAAAAGAAGTATGTATATAAAAGTATATTAAAGTATTGAGATTAATAAAAAAAAATGTTAACAGCATTCATCCGATCCATTCGGTGCATCCACCGAGATCACCCGGTTCTCGGTGTACCCGTTATGAAGACAGCGGATTTGCAGATCCACCAGATTTGCACGATATCGAGGAGGATTTTAACAAGAGACCAGTAAGGAGCAGCCTACTTCCGTGACATCGGCCAAGATTCAACGTTTGAACGGTTGTCTGCTTGAATCAATGGCGACAGCATCTGATCGTCGATCTCCGTTTCTTATTAGATTTATATACGAATGAAACGATGCGTAAAGCGAACCGTTTACTTCGTTTAAACGGACGACTTCTACAGTCGTTTTCCTGGAACTTCAAAAAAGAGACTCTTCTTGTTTACGAATACAACTTACAGGATATTATCCTATCATGTTCATTCAAATGATTCATTTTTTCGTGATAAGAAATAATTTTCCAATGTGTAGGAGATAGGGTAAGTTCTAACTCAAAGTTTCAATCTAAAAATATAAAATTCAACATTTTAACTAATAAAAATAATCGAACATTCGTATTGTATATTTGGACTCTGTCATCAATCTAGAATAATTATTTATTATTCTTTAGAAATAACTTTGTAATGTAACTTTTTATACGATGTGAATCATTTCCATTTGTATAAAAATTCTAAAGTAGCATTTTTTAATCATACAACTTTCCTCACAATTATTAATATAAAATAGAGTTAAAAAATACACAAATATGTGTAACGAAAAAAATGTGTCATTCAATAGGAATATTGTACACGTTTGAATGCGTGTTCTTATGACTTATATAGGTTGAAAATTAAATGATCGTAGATAAGTATCGTTTTTCAGTTCAACAAACTCAGAAGTTCAAACATTGACCGTGATTGAAATCGTTTAACGATCTATAACGATCGTTTGATATTCGATTATTTTTTTTTCTTTTTTAATATTTTTTGTTGTTGCAATGATTGTTTTGCTAGTATGTGTAATCACCGATCAACTTGTATAATTAATTTGAAATGTAACTTTTATAAAATTATATACCTTAAGCATTGCTACGATTCAGATCTGTTCGATTCCACATTAAAGATGAAATAAAAGAATAAATTGTGAAACTGGTTTTCGAGCTACTTACACATCGTATCATTCTCAACTGTTTTGCGAATTTTCGATTAATATATCTTTTTAATACCGGATTAAATGTAATCACTCTCACTTCGAAGAACTTGTTCGCAAAAGAGGAACACGTTCAGATTATCGAAAATTAACAAAATCATCGACATCATAAATTTCAAAGAGTCATTTATATTTCAACGTTACTTTGTATTACATATCTGTAAATAAAAGAAAAAATTCGAACAATGACAATGAAATAAAGATAATAAAATTTTGTATCAACTATCTTACATCTATTTATGCTCAAGGAAACATTATTCTTCAAAAAAAAAAGTTATAAGTGTAAATAATATAAAAACGAATAGAAAGGTCTGCAAAAGGTGTGCGTCATTATTTTTATTCATTTATCCTATAAACGTTATGGTGTGTGCTATTTTTTAAATGATGTGTATTAATGCTACAATTAAACATTCAAATCTATCCCGAGAACATAATCATTATAGAAGACTTATTAATTTGTTTTTAAACGATCAGTTAAACTCGATCACGATCGGCCGCGTTCCCCTATTTAAATAACACGCGAGGTAGACCCACATTTTTTTCAAGTTGCTTCTTGTACAGCCGATAATTCGAAGCTTCACTTCCGCCGACACGGTTCCAATTTCCATGCGTGGTCCTACGCTGTGAATAGGCAACCATAAGTGGTTGCAAGTTGATATGAATGTAACGGTACATAATCGAATATCGTAATTACTCTTCAAAGATCGCCTTGCGAAAACTCAGATCGTTCTCTCTCTCTCTCTCTGGTATATATATATATATACCTAGTTTACTTGTTTGCTCATTCTTTTGTAAAATGAGATAATGTTACGGTTTTTATTGCATCCTCACTATTCATCATCGTTAATGACACCGTTCGAAGGGCGAACTATTCTTTAGTTTTTAAGGTTTCCTTTTTTTAGATACATATATAAAAAAGAAGAACCCATATATTAAGCAGAATAGTAATAGATAATAAATAGTAATAAATTCAGAATTAGCCAACTTTTAATTTAGACAAAAAAAATTTTAACAATTATTTTGACTGAAATAAAAAATTGATCATTCAATGCCAAAAAGTCCATGTTATTTAGATGGGAAATTTACCTCGTTGTGCGGCGAAGATTAAAATTGAAATAAAGACTTGAAACTTGAGGGATATTTTGTTGTATTGCCTCTGAGAGAATAAAAATTCAAAAATACCTAAAATAAGAACCACTCAAATATATCTACATGTATATATATCCCATGTATGTGTCCCGTATAAATACATCACTGTGACTGACGAGCCCGTATACAATCACAATTTATATTTCTAATAAAATATGTTAATAAAAGATTAATCATTTTATTAATCTTGTTCATATGTCCAGAATTTGGTATATTGGAGTGCTATAAGTACTCCAGGCAGAAATATTCATTGACAATTTTCAAGGACTATCACAACTGGTTCGGTTTCGCGGAATACTTGATTTCGAAGAGTCTCGTCTGCAATGGAATAAAGTAACGTGGTCATAAAAATGATACTACCTGTGATACCTTGTCTTGTTAATGGAAAATAATAGAAATGTTTTTTGAATCGAAAGAAAACATAAATCTAAAAACAACAAAGTTAATGGAGTTTCGTGAAAACATTTCTCGATTATATGGGCGATCTTTGGAGACACGTAAATTTGACTAGGCGTTTCTTACATCACACACAGGTATCGTAGCGTAAGACAGGCTTCGTAGTAAGTATGTAGGCGGTAGTTGTATCGCTATGGAGTGGAACAACCACATTCCAGAATGTAGACGGCGGAGTGAGTAAGAGGATGCGAATCGCAGAAGGGTAGACATGAAAGAGAGAAGCCGAGAAGGTGGGACAAAGGGAGAAGAGGAATGGAAGAATTCAGGTTCGTGAATACCTTCAGGGATTCGAACCTTCCTGCCATAGACGTTCAACGTGTGCGTTTCGAATACTCCGACGTTCACGAAACATCTATTCTCTCTGATTCACTTTCAAACATCATTGTAGAATCAAATCTTTAATGTTTTAAGATTGCTTGTACAATAAAGATAACTTTAATTAAATTGAGACTACCTTAATGAGTTTTAACGAATAATAGATTTCACGAAGATCTCGATTATTTTCCTTTTCGTGTAAGACGGAAATCATTCTCTTTAATTTATAAGGATTTATATATCTATATTTATTTTATATATCGACGATCCAATATCGACGATAGATACTGACGTCTAAATACATCGGTAATTGTAAAAGGATAGGTAATTGTTAGTCGAATAATTGAAAAAATTCATTTTACGACTTATATTATACAACAATTATTGATATTATAAAATGAATCGTAAAATAATTTTTATCCCATTTGTTTTGTATTTAATTCAGTGTCATTATTTATGGCACAAATTTTATTTTATTTTTTTGATCACTGAATGAATTGTTTGCCGTTAATGTTAAGTTTAAATTGTTATTCCAAAGTTCGTGTTTTAAAATTTTTGTTTATAAGAATAAAAAAGAAAATGAATTATTTTTATTATTAAATGTTAAATTATTATTAAAATGTTTTTGTATTTATATTGGATCATATTTGATCGCGTTCTTATTTTTCTTTCTTTCTTTCTATTAGACCGTGTTAGATTAAAATTTTAAAATAAAAGTATCAATTTTCTAAGAACAACCGTGAAAGAGGAACATTTTCAAGTCCCTCACTTACGAAAAGTAAATAAAGAAACGAGTTAAGTTTAATGCGATTCTGGGAAGTGTTCGACCGAATGACGAAGTTGCGCTTCGCCTACGTAAGCGCCTAACAGAGAACACTCGTGAATGGTTGATCTCGTTATTGTATGTTATGTGTGCGACTTTCGAGATCTGGGTTAGTACATATCTAAACTCTGAACTTAAGAGTACTTATTTATGCCAAAGTGGTGAGTTAAAGATAGATTATTTTTGTGTCACGAACTAGATTGTTACATGTGATACAATTTACTTGTAAATTGATGAATAAATCTCATAGAATTAGCTCTCCTATCATTTTCCTATTGTAAAGAAAAATGTACGGAAAATTAAAAAAGCTACAATTAAAATATTTCTTTAAAGAATATAAAAATGAAAATATATATATAAATATAGTATTGTGAACAAAATTTTAATCGTCTTAAGTTATTAAAATATCGCAAGGCTTCTTATTTTCAATCCCACAAGAGGATGCTTGAAAATACGAAGCCAATCGAGGGACGAACATTTGGTGGTGACTTTGTGAGCCGTGTCGAAACCTTTCAACGTAGCTAATTGTAAGATCAGATATTTGATCTGAAAATATAACAAACTGGCTAATAGGTAAAATTTTCAAAATATCTTTCATGAGATCTCACGAATAATTTGACCTTTCTCCAAATGGAATATAATCGAATTATGATAAATGAACACCTATCTAAGTTCAACGGACATTTAGTAGGAAATCTTAGAACATCTGCTCACGTGAAAGCATTTCCTCGATGAGCGCTAAACGCTTTTAACGTCGACCGACCAAGCGAGACCGATTGACGACAACGTTTCCTGGATTCTTCTACGAGATTTCCTTCTAATTAGCTTCGCTCCTTCCTTGTGTCGCATTATTACGCTGGAATACTTTTAATAAGTACTTATGTAACCGACGGATCGCGCGCAACTATATAATGATAATACCACAAATGAAAATACTGGTGGGAGGATTAAAGATACAAAACTTCAAAGAAAATGGAAATCAGTTTTGTAGAAGTGTGGGATGTTTCATATGTGAAAGTTCATTAGAAATCTTTATTTCGTTGAAAATTTCACTAAAATATATGCTAATTAATTTATATCTTTTTCAATGTGAATCTGAAACAGAAAAGATTAAGCTCAATCAGTCAAATAATACATTTATATTAATCAAATTGAATGCATCTTTACTACACGAGCAAATAAATTGATTTAATTTCCATGTTATGAACCAATTATTCCTATGTCCGAATTTTATTTTTAATATATTGTACACGTGACATGTATAATACTAATAAGTTTTTCGTATATTGTTTGCAGGATACATTTGTTATATATTATTGGCTTAAATGTGGAAACATATTTTAAATGGTATCACACAACAAAATATTATTATTCATAATATTATTATTATCGCAGCTTAAAATATTATATAGATAAAATATATATGATTTTTTGAAATCATATTCGGATCAGATGCAATTGAGTTAAAAAAAAATGCCATAAACAATGCATTAATATTTTTTTTAGTCAATCGAATAACAAAAAAAACAAATTCTAAATAAATTTTTTCGATCGTACTAATTATGTCAAACTTTAGTGTATACGTAAATCAAGTAGAAATAAATTAGTTAAAAAGAAGGAAACGAATTGGTCTCATGTTTTTAACTGCACGTAAGAATTCCAGTAGCTCTGATTTTCTAATTCATATAGTCCTAAATTCTATGGACACTCATTAACAATAAAATATCTCTTTTCAACGACTCATGGAAACGCCTCCATTAACTCTATTGCTCTCGGAGAATTCTAGCTGGAATCTGCTACATGTTTCTAGCCGTCCGATGCGTACATAATGTAGCTCTCGGTGAATTAAGGTCGTATGGAGAAAGAAGTTCACGATCATAGCAAAAAATGTACCACAAATTGTAAGAAGGCAGAAGAAATCGAGCGATCATTGGTAGAAGCTATGAAATTCTTATCGTTTTGTTTGTTAATGTTGAGCGTCACTAATGATGCCCGGTAGGGGTGCCATTTCTAGATCGCTGCTATAACGTTATATTTTTTTCATAAAAGATTATTTTCTATAGTACTGTTAGTATAAAAGTATATATATATATATATATATATATATATATAATATAGTATAGATATATTATTTTTTACATTTAAAATCTCTTAGAATATATAAATAACGATACTTTAATGTTCGATTAATATTTTGATGTTAGAAAGTATAAACTAATAAATATAATAAAGCAACATATTGGTAAAACAATAGTAAATATATTCAAGTCTTATTCAGATTGATATAAATATTAAATTTGAAATATAAAATATTTGAGTTCTCTAATGGATTATTCATTGAATTTTATATAAGCGGAATTAATGAAAAATATTAACTATCGTAAAACATTCATGAATCCATATAGTTCATCGGATATAGATGGAAAATAAATTTGTCTTTGCCAGTTAAAACTAAAACCCGTTCTATCCTTGAACGTATCTCTGAGACAGCACGAAAATTACATATTCTTTTGCTCGAGAGTCATTTCACGCTTCTTCGTTCAAAAACTCTTTCCCCGAGCTTCGAACTGCAGAAAAGTACACACATAAATATATGTGTATTCACCGGTGGTACTGGAAAGAGTTAAAATTAGTAACGGTCGAGGGACAGTTAAACGGCTCTTTGCGTTAATGTATAGTATATCTTATCGATTCTGTCAAGAGAAAACAACGTTCAAAAGAACATGAATTTCTTTTTTCCAATAAATAACACAAAAAAATCCTTCCTTGAATAAAAATGACAACAACAATTCCGTTAATTTTTCACGATCGATAGTTGGTTTTACAAACATAAAACGTTCATAAAATGTATATTCATTGATTTTTACCGAATTATGACCATATGTTATATAAAAGAATGAAATATAACATTTTCTGAAGATTATTTTAAAAATATTGTTAAAAATTATATAAGAACGTATTGATTTATATAAATAAAATTGACTTGGTCGATCAGTGTTAATGAAATCGACTTAAAGGAGTGTACTTGAACGTATGTCATTTGAACAAAGAAACGATACAGTGTCTGCATTAATAGGCATTAAAAAGAGAGGAAGAAGAATAATTATAAGAAGAAGAAGAAGAAGAAGAAGAAGATAAGGAGATGAGAGTGTAATGGGCAAAGAAAGAGAGAGAAAGAAGCAAGAGGGTCAAAAGCAAGATAAAACGAGTGAATGGCAGGCAACTCTGAACACGAGAAAATAAAAGAGAAAGGAGAATAAGAAGAAAAGGGAGGTTGTGGTCGAAGTAACGCCGAGGTTTAACATGGAGTCCTTTTACGCGAAGAGAAAAGGTGGGCCTTATGCAGAGGCTGCCTTCGAGCGAGCAAAGAGTCAGGACAGGATTGGATCTTGTTAGCCCTGAACTTGGCCACCAATGTCTTTCCTTCTCTGCAAACTTAAACGTAGTATAAGCTCTACGACGGGTTTGGTCTTACTGCGTTCACGATCTCTTAGTATCGAGCTTTAAATTCTCGTAAGAGTTTATGCAATGTTTTCATTTCAATTCCTAATTGAAATGGAAATTAGATGTATTTTTATCATTAAATTGAAACATGTTTATATCTTATAATCTATATAATTAGTAGATGTGTGTGTTTATAATTTATATATGTTTCTGTAATTATAATAGTAGACTAATTGTAAGTCAAAAATTGGAAAAAATTGATTTTATGATTTATTTTACAATAATAATCACAATTATATAGAATAAATTATAAAATTATATTTTTGTATATTTTGATTTACGTTAGTTCACTGTCATAATTATAGACATGTAAATAGCTTTTGTTATGCATAAACAATATATTTAAATACGGTGCCTCCTATGAAGTTTTACAAGTAATTTTACATGTAATCTCCCATACTATTCGTTATGCAAAAAAGTGTTTCAAGTAGAATGAACTTTATTTAATCTAGATAAAATTTGTAACCATCACAATGTGCCTTCCACGAAATAAATAAGTTCTGCTTGAAGAATATTTATATATTTATCTTCAATCGTGATTGTTACGTAAATGTAAATTCAAGGAAAAATGTTTTTTGTTTATTGTTTATTTCGATTTAGTAAAAGATAATCGAAAATTTTAGGTGAAAATTTTTCACGTCGATCGATGAATACGGCGTAGTGAAAGTCAAAAGAGAAAGAGAAAAAGTAGAGGAAAAAGAGAGAGAGAGAGAGAGGGACAGACAGACAGAAAGAGAACGCACGTGGAATCTTGTTTTGTAATTTTAATGGCAGATCCGATCTCGTTGGCCCTGAACTTGGCCGTGAGCCTTACTTCGCGTAATCCTTCGACGTAGGCGCGTCACGTTTCGAGTTCTTATTCGATCGTTTGCCACCGGCCGACGGTCCAATCCGTCTCGAAGTGCCTAGAACTATATATTCTAAGATTTGATCCATGTTATTTCGACTATAATATTTTATACTGAGCTAATTGTAAGATATATCTAATTACTCGTAATTAATTGCACTTAAAATTCTACAATTTATGCTAAATGTCTATTGTATTAACATTAAACGTAAAATAACATTAGGAAATATAGTTTAAATAATTTAATGATAGGATTTATTGTATATGTTATCGTGAAAAATCAAAATTGGAGAATGTCAAGATTCATATAGTCGCTTGTCAATACATACCAAATACGTCCGTAAAAGACCAAATATTTGGGTTTATTCTTATACATTAATATTTCAGACATACACCAAGCGACAAAATAAGTCAATTTAAATCAACAGATTTTAGAATATAGCAATTATTGCATGCGATTATACCACACATAAAATTACATATATTAAATAAAAAAAAATTTATTAAAAAAATATAATTTTCTTTTTAAACCCCAATGACAAGAAATGTTAAGACCTCGAGGATCATTCGAGACCCTTTTTTATTCCGCGGTCCCATGCGGCCGCTTATGTTAGTCCGCTTACCGCTTAATCCGCCGTTGTATCGATGTATGCTAAATACTAACGATTATCATTTAAAATTTAAAATAAAGAATACTTACGCATTACTGAATATTATAGTTCAAAAATTAGTATTATGAAAACAATGTTTTTTTGCAATTATGATCGATCAAATACTAAAAATAAGATAACTAATATGTTATTCCCTTGAAATCCCGTTTTCTATTCTCATTATCGATTAATAAATCGCGCGAAGTTGTAATATATGTGTTATTTTCTGTATCATTTATCATTATTATATATTTCATAAATTGATTTATCCATCTCTGGCCTTATCGAAGAGATAATACTTTATGATAAAAACATTCTTATCAATAATACATTTTATCAATAGAAAAGCTTTGCAATATTTTACTACTGCCCTGTACGATTGTATAACAATTACAGTCGAGTTAATGCAAATTATTCCGTATCATCAGGATGTTTATGATTGAAAAAAATTATCTCTGACGCGTTTGGTTTCCGGTTTTTTATAATTAAAAAGCACGCAATTGCCAGAATCAGTGTCGTTTGTATCTTTCTGATATAACAAGATATATATATGTTACCGGAATAGTGGGAAATCAGGCAATGTTAGCAATTATTCGGCATTGTCCTCAATGCAAAGCGTTTTTCGGCAACGTGGGAAATGTATTCATGACAAATGAGAAACCGGTGAAGTAAAAAAGCAGATATAAAATATTTCGTTCTAAGCCTGTTTATATCTTCCGATACGATAGGGAACAAAAGATACAGATTTTTAATATCTTCTCTTACGATAAGTAACAGCGGGCAAATTCACGCGAGATTCACGAAAAAACGCCCGCTGCACGCGTAAATCCACTGAAATTTTTAAATTTTGTGAGCGATTTTCTTAATTTTTCGTTCCGTAAGAACCTTCTACAAAGTATTAAAAAACTTAAAAAAAAAAAATGAATGAAATCGATAAAGTCGTTCTCATGTTATGGCGTGACCAAGGGAAACAGGGATTCATTTTTATATACATAGATTACTATGAGAATTGTGATATTAAAAATAGAGATAAATAAATACTTTGACGTATGAAAATAGTCGATGTTCATTTTTCATTACAATAACAAAATTAAATAACTTTTGTTCAGTATTTATAATCGATCTTAAAGAAATATTTACTCGCACCGTTATCTTGACTGATTCTCGGTACAACGATCGAGTATCTAACGAGTACATCACTAAATATAATTTCTATCTAATGAGGCAAGATAAAATTAGTAAAGTAATACAATAGCTTATTAAATAAGAAGAACAATCGTTTTTTATTGTCAAACATATTTTACAATAAAACTTTCGATAATATTTAATGTTTTATTGAAAAGTAAATAAAGTATCATTGTTCAAATCAATCACAATACAGCATACAAATAAAATTTATTTATTTTTCCTTATCATAAAAGTTAGGTTATAAAATCATTAAGATCGATCTTTTTTTGATTCTATACAATTAATATTATAATTTTTCTTTCTCTCTTTTTTACTCGTACATTATTTACAAGCCTTTGTGATAAACAAAGGTTAATTAAAAAAAGAAGAAGAAGTCTTTGTTGTGAACATCGCACAATGCATTCTAGGCGGTCCCTCTTCTATCCTTCGAGTTCACGCACGGAATAACCCTCATTAAGGGCACATTTGCGGCTAATGCGAATTAGGAGGATATATTAGTCACGCTGGGAATTGCAGATGCGTGGGAGTGGAATGTTATAAATCGGAGTCCAAGACGAGGAAATTAAGGAAGTTCAGTATGTATGCTTTTTAAATAATATTTGAAACGTTTTACAATCGTTTATGTGTTTCTTATACTTGGTTATGATATTTTGCAATAAAATAGTAACATATGAGGAGATATTACATATAACGTGTGTGTATATTAGGGTAGTCTTTATATGGGGTCTGAAAAAAATTTCATGTTGGAGCGCATCAAATCGGTTTTAAATAATAAAAAAAATGCTCTAATTTCTTTTAACCATGTATATAGAGATATATATTGTACATATAATTCTTATTTTCAACACCTGTGGAAAATATAGTTCGACACACCTGCGTGACATTGAAACTATACCATGTAACTTTTCCAGATAAGTTGTGCTTGACTGATGATAGTTGCATTACTATTTTCTTTTGTATTGAAACTATCAACGTTATGATAAGGAATTTTTCGATAGCAGCGAGATTTAGACTAATCTAATGATATCTTATCAATATCAGACTAAAGCCTCGCGAGCTGATTGCGTATTTATCAGAACATTGTTAAAAAATAAATTATGATGTTTTAAGAAAAACATACAATCGATGAAAGGGAAAATGTTTAACTTTCAATAAAAATTATTATTTAATTTTCAATTTGTGTACAAATAATGTATAATTGATTTATAACGTTTATTTACTTTAAGGTGGCAACAGTAAAATAACAGTAAGAAAAATAAAACCAAACTACTTATCAGTGTTTGATAACCATGAAAAATAAAAACTGTTGGAATGCATAAGTGCTTCTGTATTGTTTTGGAAATATTTCTGCACCCTAATTAATAAAGTGTTCGCAAAGTAAATTAACAAAACGGTCTAATTATCGCAAAGCGAATGCCGATGAGTTATCGTAACGACAACTTCCGTTGGTTGGAATTGTTTTGTTAGTCAGTTGGACTCATTGCATGGTCCAGATTTAGGTTGTCTGCAGGAGTTAATAGGTGCACGAATGTAACTACTTTTTTCTATGTGCAAAAAGAATTAAGTTTTAATCCGGCTCACTTATTGGATATAATCTGTAAAAATACTTACATAAAAAGCTGCAATTCCATTCTATTGATAATCATTCTTATGACGAGCGATTTTTAATATAAGCAAGAAGAAAAATAATATCAATCGTATCTTCGATTGTAGATAAGGATCAAAAAGAAACAGTAGTACGATAGATAACATTCTATATCTTATCGTTATGAGCAAATGAGGATACTTTAACAGAGAAACGGAAAGTATAATGGTAAAGTTTTTTCAAAGAAGTTCTTTTAATCACGACTCACCGAAGATAGCGATATCGATTGGCGCTCTTTATCGAGATAAACTGTTATGTAGGGTCAATCGATTGATAGGGAAATGATAAGGATTAATAAAAAATGTTTGTTCTTTCGCAGTTTCGCGTCAGTTAAAGAGAGGTAGTCAAACTTATTACGTGAAAGTCCAGGAAGCTCGTTCAACATGTCACGAAAACAATCTTACACTCTAATTGTGTCGTGTCTTTTTTTCACGAGTCTTCTTTTTGCGTCAATCGAGTTAGGTAAACGATTGCGTATTCTAATTCCTTTTAATGTTGTTTAAGTAATTACAACCTATCTCTCTCTCTCTCTCTTTAAAAAAAAAGAAAACAAATGGTTTCCTATTGTGCGATCAAAAATTGAATATTTATTTGAATAAGCTATAATTCTTATTTGTCTGTACCAGGTGAAGGAATAAAGTGTTACATATGTGACGGTTCACAATCAGATTGTACAAAAAATCTAGGCAAAAGCCAAGATTGTTCATCACTGCAAACAAATTCGACGACACCAGATCCGACGACACCAGATCAGACGACACCAGATCCAACGACACCAGATCCAACGACACCAAATTCGACGACACCAAATTCGTCGACACCAAATTCGTCRACACCAAATTCGACGACACCAAATTCGACGACACCAAATTCGWCRACAYCAAATTCGTCAACAYCAAATTCGWCRACACCAAATTCGACGACACCAAATTCGACGACATCAAATTCGACGACGAGTTCTAAATTGGATCTAACAGAATCAGATTCTATGTCTATTGGTATTATATATATTCATATATGTATAGATTATACTATATTTTTAATACATCCAAGAAACTCTATAACATACAACTATCTAAAAATTGATAACTAATAATAATTTAAAAATTGCTAATTATTATATTTGAAAATTGTAAACAGATTGGTTTAAAGAACTCGAAAACATAACGTATGAATGCTTCGAGGTACATACAACTATAAAAAATCGTAAGTAATATCATATCATGTAACTCATTTTAAATATCGAAATAATCATTACGAATTAATATGAATGTTAAAGTCTTGAAATTTATTGAAAATTTTCTTCATTTTATTATTTAACAATAAATATTTATACATCAATAAATTTCATTCAATATCATATGACATTCAAATGTGAATTTAAATTTATTATATTATAGGTACAAGTTTGAGAAATGAAGTACATCGAGGATGTTCTCTAAAGGACTCGTTGACTTGTAGTATGTTTGAATATCCTGACGTAGAGCAAACAAGTTGTCTTATAAGAACTTGTGAAACTGACAACTGCAATTCTTCAAGTATGGAAAAAATGGGAATAGTTTCACTGCTTTTACCTTTAATCACAGCGTTACTGCGCACAAGATAGATATTTCATTGTTAATACTGACATAATAATATGACGTGAATTGTATTTCTATAAAAAGTAGGCAATAAAAACTGATCGAGAAATATTAAAGTTATCATAGTCATATATTTCTGTCAAAAAAATATTTTTATGAAATTTAAATCTAAGAAGTTTATTGAAATGAACAATATCTTGATAATGAATGTTAAAATAAATTATACTATTAATTATTGAAAATACTGTATATATTCCAACTTTAACAAAGAATTTCCAACTAAAATTGAATGACGAAATGGAGATCTGAGATTAATTTAAATTTTTTGATAAAGTGAAAAATTTGTTCTGCACCTTCAAGAATGGAGAATTTATTTGTGGAATCGCGGTATAATGACCACTTAACGAGGGGCGTCATATATCTATCGTTCATGATACAGCAATCACAACGTCATGGATTAAGCACAAAACAATTATACTCATTATGTATAATTCAATTTGTAAAGGTCTATCAACTTAGAAATGTCATGTTTTTCAACTCGTACTAGAAACAAATCCATTAGTACATATTTTATAAATAAACTAAATATATAGGATCATATATTTAAAAAGTTAAAATAAGAAATTAATAAATAAAGTATCTTATCTTTATTAATTCGCATATAATCATCGATATGTGTAGGAAAGGAAATTAAGATAAGGACAAAGTAAGCAATAAAATCTTATTATTCTATATCAAGATTAATATATTGAGATTATAAGAAATACCACAACTGTATGTTCTTGAATACAGTAAGTATTCAATAATAAGGAGAAATGCATTATTTCTCATCATTTTATGCAACCGTTCGATTTCCTTAGTGTGAACGATTTGCAAGATAAACAGAAATTCGCGTACAACTTTCTTGGCCGCTATGCACTTCGTGCATTATTCAACGTCCGTCAAAAGTACGACTAACATAAGTTTACGCGGAATCGCGTTACGCTTACGCGGATAATGCTATAGATTTATATAAAACTGGGCCGCGATGCTGTGAGAAATTCTTCGTGCATCTGCCAACGGCAACGGACCAAACTTTACCTCCTTTTCTTCTCCCTTCTCTCTTTCTATTTCATTCCAGTTTGCTTCCGGGTACCACGATCTACCGGGAATTCTCGTACTCTCTTCATAAATTTTCCAAATAAGTATCAGGAATACGTCACTCGAAATATCTGATAACAAATTTTTCTAACGTTAGATCGGAAATTTTTCTCCACTTAAAAAATAACCTACGGTGAAATGAAAATTCATATAAAGTAAACAGATATATAGACAATTCATATCAATCTATCGCCTTTAGCATTGATCAATTATCTCTATCCTCTTTAAAACATTGTAATTCGTTTGCAAGTTCGAAACTTTCAGTTGATACAGTTATCTAATTGATTTTCGCTGCTCATCGGTGAACTATTTGAAGCGAGTTATTAATTTTGTTTGGCATGTATCTATCGCCGATGAACCCGATATAAAAAAGTTCATATTTTATTATTAATGATGCTCGATGAAGCTCACATTGTTGGTAGATACTTAAGCACAATTTTTATCTATGAACAACATTATCAATATAACGAAAGTCTCACTTGCTTCTCTTTTCAACGTAAATATTTTATAATTTAATTACAATCACGTTATGTGTTTAGTTGCATCTTAATCGTTTTTTTTACTATTACATAGAAACTATACTTTAAATTCATTTATTTATTTAATTGTTCGTTGCACATACGTGGATCGTAAACTATACGAATATGATACTATACCTTCTATCTACTTTCAAATTTTTATAAGCCATCCTACGGAGTGGTAAACAAAATTCGATTATGACAATCTCGTAAAGTTCCAATATTATGGATGAGAAAGCAACGTTCTCGTAATCTGTAAGGGTAGCTCCATTCGTATCTTCCCTCTGGCATGTCTCTTCTTCGGATTCTTTTTAAATGTCTAACACAAATTCAAAATATTTCGAAATAATTCGAATGAGTTATAAATAATAATTGATAATAGTCGGGTCAAGAGGTCAATTTAACTTTTTAAAATTCTTTTTTATCCATGACTATGATGTCATATCTTAAAAAAAAAGAATAAATAAAATAAAAAATAGTATAAATGTAGATAAGCGTGAAGGAAAATGGGGGAGATTTCTATAATGCTTCGGACACGCATTAGACAAGATTCATGTACAAAATTTTCTATATAAATATATAATATAAATCGTTGGCAAAGAGACATAGTTCGTTTGTAGCGACATTTTCGTCCACCGAGTTGCAGTTACAACATGTAAAGTGCAAATACGCGGATACACCGACAAAAAGACATATTACCGTCCTTTCTTTCGTTACGCCTGGTAAACAAGAGCTTCCACCGGGATAACTCTTATCCTCTCGTTAGCTCCATTCATGTTTCTTTCATTTCTCTCCTACAAAGGAAGGAAGAAAGCAAGAAAGGAAAGAAGGAAGGAAAAAAGGAAAAAAAAAGAAAAAAAGAAATGGAAATCACCTCGATTCGAACTGTGGTCGGTAATGGTTTGCTACTTTTCAATGATAAATCATTCGATCGAGTATTCAACTACGAAAATCTAACGAATTTGTTTTTATATGAAATTATGAAAAAAATATTATGAGGTAAATATAAAAAAAAAAAAAAAAAATGAGAAAATATAATATTTATCAAGATTAATATTGAATATAGTAAAATATCAATATTAGATGATACTCATTACTTACATTCTGTATAGTATACCTAGTATATCTAATCAAATTGAATTATTTATACTATATTTCATGAATTATTTTCAAATGACGAATATATTATACAAACACTATTTACTTTCTCGAAGCTTTGGAATATGCAATATTCAATTTAAAAAATATTCTTTATTATACGGTATATAAATAATTTTGAATATATAATTGAAAATCGTATTAAATATTTTCAATGTTTTTTGAGATTGGTATGAAAGAAAAAATAAGATATGAAAAAGAATCGGTCGAATTTTTTGATTAAAAATGACGTATAGATACATCCCCATGGAGGTTTTATAGTATTCTTCTCGGATACCCAATGGAGCGTGCGCGTTTTGAATTTCGAAGCGTAACCGAGCGCGGGAGGCTCGGCTAAGCAAGTTAACGTTTCGTGAGGCGCTTCAGTCGATATTCATCCTTCGCAAGCGACGGGTCGTTTCATTTCCTTGCCTCACTTTTCCTTCATAATAGTCGTCCCTTTTATTTTTTAAACTTTTCATTTAACACATTTTATCAAGGATCTATTTTTTTCAACGACCAACAAAAATACATCCTTTCAAGTTTTTCGAATTATCTCGCGTATATGTATGTGACAGCATTTCATTAAAAATAAGAAAATCAACAACAACAATATTATCAGTGACGAGCCTAAGTGTTTTAATTGCAGTTTCGATTATGATGCGCGATCGACGACATTAATTCTTTTTTTTTTTTGATTGGTTTCTTTTTTTTTATGTTTCTTTTATAATTATACCTGTCACGAGTCAAACGTTCCAGGAATTTTGCGGCTAGATTATGAACGTGAGTACATCCAATTATCTTATTTTGTTTCCTCTTTCGTATTTAGGATATGACGTATGCCTGTGTGATTCTTTTAAGAAAAAGATTGTCACGTTTTTTCCATTTTAATTATATCCTCATAAAAAATTCCTAATGTTTTTTTCAGCACCCGGAAAAAACAAAGAATCTAGATAATATTCAACTTTAATTTGTGTTATTACGAAAAAAGTTTCATTCTCAAAGAAATTATATTTCATATTTCGTTAAGTTTTTAACAATATTCTATACAATTTTAATAATAATATTTTCCAAAGTAAAATTTATTTATTTCTAAATAAAGATATCCTAATAGATATACTTTAATATCGTGAAGAAACAATGCATGTATCATTCTATTTATACATATAAATATTTTCTTCCGATTATTATTACCAATTAGTATAAATTTTCTGAACAAAAACAATATCATTACATAATTATAATAATGAAAAATGAAGATATAAGTGAATATTAATCGAGTAATATTTATATTGAATTTATTTGTTTAAAAAAAAAAAAAAAAAAAAGGAAGGGAAATGAATTTGTAAGAAAAGACAAAACCACAAAACGGAAGAAACGCGTTTCAAAAGCAACCGGACGAGATCATTTCTAAGGTACAATTCTTCCAGGCTTTCAGTAGAAGAAAAAACTTTCCGAGATATAAGACGAGACTCGTTCGTTCATTCGTTCATTTTGAAGAATCTAGCATGCGTATGTCTCTCACGACACACTTATACAAATTACATGCCATTTCCTCGGAGGAAAAATATTATATGAAATCGTAACAAGACGACTATACGTAAAATATAATTAATTCGTTAATAAATCTTATTTTTTTCTTATGTTATTTCAAAATTTATATGGAAATTTGCAAATAAGAAAAAAATCAAATATAGATAAAATTTAATGATTAGTGTATTTAAAAAGATTAACCTGTCCTTTTATTGCAATAATTATTTTATTAAAATTAACCCCTTCTATAAATTATCGCAGATAAACTATATATATTCTTTGAGATTAAGATGAACTTAAGAAAATCTTAAAACATATAATATATTCATCTAAAATCTCATGAAAACTTTTGATGATTTGATTATCAATGAACGCGAGTATTATTTCGAATTAGTTTCTTCGTTGAGGGTATTGCGAGGGTATTGATAATGCAAACTAAATGCCATAATGCCAGACATGAAAAGGACTAGCATTTGAAACGACGAAGAAGAAAATCAAAGATAAAGTTATTTAGAGAGAGAGATAGAGAGTTTCTCTTGAAGGGAAGTTTCAGATGGTCTCCGTTTCCATTATATAATTTATATAAAGAAAAACTTCTTCTGTATCAATTGTACGAAATATTCGCAAGCACATTTGCAAGTGAAAGAGGTTCTTACTTCGAATTAGTCTTGCCATTTCGTTGGACCGAGTTATCGAAACTTCGACATTCTCGTTCACTGAAAATCGAAGATTTCTGCTTCATCGAGCTCATGATAAACACTTGAATTTGCATATTCGTTTACTCTTTACTAATGAGAATTACAAAGAGTTCATTTTACCGGTAAATTAACGTCACCCGAGTGTGTCGATATGTAAATACTCGCACGTGTCGCATGCACAACAACAAATATAAAGCGAAGCATTGAAAAGAAAAGGAAAGAGAACGCGTTTAAACTTTCTTCTCTTTCATTTAGTCATTTTCTTAAAATTCCCTAGACCGAAATAATCACCTTGATTAGAATGTACTTTAAACGATAATTTGTAATACTTACATACAAAAGACTTTCTTGAAATTTTCTTTCTATTCCTTTATTTCTTCGTATCTCTCTTTTTTCTTTTATATATTTTTATTCTATTTCTCATCACCTGATTTTCTAATTTTTGTTTTTTTTTTTTTTTTTTTCTTTTTATTCCCACACGCGAGAAAACGGATATCCTGGATAAACCGTGCAAACGATCTGAAGAAAGTTTTCCGTGGAAAGTACACTTCCTCGTGCTATGACACTAACGTGCAAAGTGTTCCTTATTCTTAAAGCTTCTCACGTTACGATACTTTTCGCGAGCTTCTTTGGACATCCGTAATTATTATAATGACAATCACAAATCCATTATTATCAAACAATTTTCAAATTGTTGCAATAGAAGTCGCAGATAAAAAAAAGTAAGAAAATTCTTTTCTAATATTTATTTACAATTTTTCTCGAATCTTTTTCATATCCGCTGTTTCCTTTTGGTTTATCGCAATAACGCAGTAATCATTTTTAACGCTGAACGGTTTCCACGAGAATTTCGTAACTAAAAGCGATCGACATATTTGTTTTATTATTTCTCTTCTATCTGACAGGAGGAAAAAAAATAGTTCGACGGGTTTAGTCGCATTAAGTATTAAGCCAAGAGTCGTTAAACAATCTGGAACATGATCTGTCATTGCTCGTCGGATTATTACCAAAGCAATTCGTCTCTTGTAATTACTAGTGTTTGGTGAAAAAGTGACGAGGTCAGCCAATCGAAAGAAAGAAATAAAAGTAAGAGGAGAGAGAGAGATAGAGAACCTAACCGCGGGATACAAAAGAAACATTTATTTTTTTCTGTTATACCGACTCCCGATTTCACGATTGTACCACGTTCTATCGTAGTATTAAATTCCTTGCTCGATTGCTTGAAACACGTAAGTAAGTACGAGCTCATGGCATTCTTCAAGTGATAATTAATTCTCTCGGTCGATTCTCACGAGAGTCAATCGAACCGAATATGGAGACATTTATGCGTTCTTATCTAGCGAATTTGTATACAATAAAGTGACCGGTTTCAAGTTGTTCGAATCTTTCACATTTTTATCCACAAACACACCTATTTATAAATTCATCAATACAAATTTTATCGCTCTTACGACATCGACGTATTTTGGATATAATTTTTGGTAAAAATTCTTTTGTTCATATTTTTAATGAAATAATTTATCAGAAATAATCATTTATCACCAATGTTATTGCAATTAATCCATTTTATTTGATTATCAATAATAATAATCTATATATATAAAAATGAATTCCTGTTTTCCTTGGTCACGCCATCATAACTTGAGAACGACTTTACCGATTTCATTCATCTTTTTTTTTTTTTTTTAAGTTTTCTAATACTTAGTAAAAGGTTCTTATGGAAAGAAAAATTAAGAAAATCGCTCACAAAATTTAAAAATTTGAGAAAACTTAACGAAAGAAGTGAATGTGTTTATAGAAATTAGTAGGGGGTAATGCGGGTAACTTCGCCCGCATTTAAATACGTGTTTTTACGTGACCCGCGCTCAAGTGACAATCTACGAAAAACATAAAAATACGTTTCCCGCAAGCAATATTTTAAAAGTTTAATATATCGATTTTTGGTAAGTTTTAGTAGACTAAACTTACCAAAAAGAGAACTAACTTCTGGTTATACAGAAAAACTAAAGGAGTCAATTTTTTATTTTCAATTGAATTTTGGTTCTTCAAAATGCCACCAATTAGACGTACCAAAAAAGAAAACTAAAAATGTTGTGTATCAAAAAGCATTACAATAAATAATATGTTCTTGAAATAATTTTTTTTTATTATTTATTCCAGTTCGAATTGAATATTCACAGCTAAGATAATAATAATAATAATAAAAACAATGCTACTGTTTTAATCGTCAATGCACAAAATTTATTATTATTCCATAAATGTTTTCCGAAGAATAAATTTATCTTATATTTAGATCGCATGAAGAAATGTTCGAAGCTTTGGATGAATGATATAATCGACAAGTTTTGATATCCGGATATTATTTTATATGTTACCGGCAAAGTACAAAATGCATAAAACTAGCCGACAATGTAGGAAATGTATTCATATTTCACACATTTCCTAGGTATTCTGTAAGATGCCAAATGAGAAACCGGCAAAATAAGAAATACATCTCCGATTGGTTTTTAAACACTCTCATTATTTGTTCAGAATAACATTTGTATTTTTGAGGAATGCACGTTATTTATATAATAGTAGCCTTTCAGGATCTTTCTTCACTCGTACATTTCGTACTTTGCCGGTAAGATATATATAGTCAAAGTTAAGTGGTGAGGATAGAGGGGTGGAGGCGGAAATACTAGGAAGAAGAACTATAAAGAATAAAAGAAATAGACACACGAAACCACGATCCTGATAAGCTGTATATACGCACGGCACATATGGAAATTGGATTAGTGTGTCACGTATATACAACACCACCATGCAAGCATGAGTGGAACTAAATTGGTTTGTTTGCAAATTTTCTTCTGTTCTTGTTTTCTTTTTCCCTTTGCTTTCTTCGATAAATAATTTTCTCTGTCTTGGAATTATAAATGAGTTCTCATTTCATTTAAAATTAACTATCAATGCGTTTTTCTCAAAACATAATTTTTCAAACTTTCATAAGAAAAAAAAAAGAAACTATAAAACTGGTTGTGCTAAAATTTTTATACGTTATTTTTTACATCATTAGCTATTAAAAAAACTTAAATTATTGTCAAAGGTATAGAATTACCAGTTTTATAAAATGAAAAACAGAAAAGTTCTAACAAATTTTCATTAAGCGTGAATCCTTTTGACAAATTTTAATGTAATTTTTTTTTTTATGTATATATAACAGATTCACTTCTTTCTCAAGTTTTCTCAAATTTGTAAATTTTGTGAAAAATTTTTAAATCATATTGAGATCAAATTTACTCAAATATTTCGTATTGGATCAGTAAAACAGGGGAAATCATTTACATGAGTAACTGGAAATTTTTTGGAAACATCAAATTAAAGGCAGGTTTTTACAAACAAAGAAAATAAAAAACTTTTTGTATAAACTTATTTTCTATTAGTTAAGAGTGTAATAATAATAAGGCATAAAAAAAATTAAAAAACCTTGATTTGTTGTTTTCATCGAAGAAAAAAAGAAATTCACGAGAAAACTTTATATTGTGTGCCACTTGATTAAAACGATTCTTTAAA